AGAGTTTTTCGTTGAGATCGAATTTTGTGTAAAACAGGCAATTGGTCTGAAAACATTCTTTCTGTTCTTAGTTGACTAATAATTACGTACTCACTTCCTGTATTTTTATCGACAATAAATTGCTCAAGTTGAACAAATTTTCCATTTTGTAGTAGAGCAAATGTATTATTAGAGCGATTACGTCTTAATTTAACCGAAGAATACAAACATCGATTTTTTATCATTCTCTTGTAATAAACAGCTTCCACTGATAATCCTAATTTTTCAATCCAAGTTTGTTCTATAGCCGCCGCTACTCCAAAGTATCGTGTTTCGAAAAGTTTACATGTCTTTTGTGTGTTTCTGTGTTCTAAGTTAGAGCAGAAACGTTTAATGCGCTCTGAACTTTGTGACAATATATCGTTTGTTAAAATGGTGTTATTCCGCTCCATTGCCAAAGATCGACTAATCTGATTTGATACACCTTTCGCAGAATTAATTTTTTTTAGAAGTTTTCCGTTTCCAGCCTCAAAAACAAAACCGGTATGAGCCCATGGAGGACCCCAATCGACGATAGATCTCAGCCAGTGTAGCAATTGATCCAAATTATACGTGAAAACTTCTTTTGAAAAATGCTTTTCACACAAAAATAGAAATTCTAAAATCAATTCATGCATTCTTTTCAAGTCAGACCTTGTAATGACTGGCTGAAGTGAAATATGGAAGATTTCTACCAATTGTGCCCAATGAAGCACGTATTCTTGTTTTAAAAAGAGTGACAAAATTGGAGTGCTATAAAAAAGGATCCAATTTTTCCACTCTTTTGCTTTCCAGTAGCTTCTATCCCGTATTTGACGAGACAAGCGCATTACTTGATTAGGAGCTTGAAAATTGTTTAACAATTTATCAATTTTATCTAAGTCGGAACTTGATAAGACAGATAAATAGTAGTTCGTAAACTGTTTTCCAATTCCTAATCTTAAGAAATGCATGTCATCGGGAACGAAGCCGTAAATAATGTCGAAATGATGCAAATTTATCAATGGTGTAACACGATTCAATCCAGCAACAGGTTGATTATTGACAACTAAATCTTCTGCGAAAACAAGCATGTTGTTCATCGTTAGTTCTTCAGGCAATGGTGTGATAATAGGATATTTCATGCTGCCTCCAGTCTCTGAACTATTTGCTATCCATTCTCCTGGATGTAGACACCAGTTACAAGCATCATGTGCATTAAATTGTCTAACACCTTGCACTGGTGCACGTGCAATCGTGTCAACACAGCACACTAATGCGTATGGCCTTATTAATTTTTCTTCACCACAAATATTGCACGAAATACCTGATTCTGTCAACTAATTGATTTCTTCGACAAATGCGTGTAGGAACACAGACATATTAGGCTTTTTCTTGCCAAACCATAAAGCAAAAAGAATGGTTTTGCTTGACCTAATGTGCAAAGGTATCTCATTCACAACTATTTGAATTGGCCATATGGAGTACGATGAGCTTTCAAATACTGGTGCTCCATCTGTGTTAAAAGTTAACGTAATATAAGATTTCCTTTCAGATGGATTGAGGTTTTCAACAAATTTCCTGTAGGCCTGGCCGTCATAAATATCTTTATAAATACCTGCATCGTGAGTTCTTCTATTGACAATATTATCGTAATATTCGTCGTTCTCTTCAACTAACGTTTTAATTTCATTCGATATTGAATAAGTTACGAAAAAATTAACATAATTACTATCTTTTAATTGAATAACTAAATTGCATTCGGCGCATGTTTTCGTTAAGTCATTATAATCGTACGTCCCTACATATGCATCGCATTGAGGACAGATAGAATGCAGGGTTGCAATGTCGCGTGGAAAGAACATTTTGTCTACAAGATATCTAGTATCGGGTAGTATTGATGTCGAAAACATGCAATTAATCATTGCAAATAAATTAGTTACAGCTACATGTGAGAAAGAGAATCGCAAAGCATATTTGACCACCATCATTACAATATCTGCTTGACTTGCAGCTATTGGAGTATTGATTGTTTGAAAAAAACTTTCCTTTTTCAATTCCTTCAAAAGTCCTGCTGATGATGTATGATCATTATTCGTTCGTTCGACATATTCGGGTAAACAGTACTCTGCGTCATTATCTTCTACATTAGACTCGTCAAAAATGAATTGCTCCCAGTTTTCATTCCATTCCTCGTCCAAGTCTTGCTCATTTTCTCTTCTATCAATGTTATAATGGATATTCTGAAAGTAATGTAGTTAATTGAAAGTATAGCATAGCTTCTACTAAATAATATTAAAATAGTGCGTAGCCGCCAAGATGGTAGTTTTAATTCACTGATTTAAAAAAAATTAAAAATTATTGGCAAAAAAAGTTATCTAAAGCTTTACAGTGCTTCAGGTAGCTTTCATCTCAAACATTTCAAGTTTAAAAGACGGATTGATAAGTTGATCAGTGTGAAAAAAAGTTTAAAAAATATCTATTTTCATTATCAAGATTAAAGCTTGAAACATGCACTGTTCATTTTGTTACCATCTCCCCTGCATAATACATGTTACTTTTTTGTACTTTAAATATTTTAATCATCTATCCCAAGGAGCTAGAAATAATACATTGATATTACTGCCATTTCAAAATTTGCTACTAAACTAGACTTACTTCTGTTTGTGTACCAATCCCATGAGTTGAAGGTACTTCAACATCTTCTCTTAACTGCAATAAATAATGAATTTAATTTTATTTAAAGTGGGAAAATGTCGTTTATTGAAATTTCTTTAATGTAAATTATTCGCAAGTAAAATTTAAAGTCATTTTTATATTAAATCATTGGCAGTAAGCAAAAAAATATTTGAAGACTTCAACCAAATAATAATCTGTGGCATATTTAAAAATGTTTTTTGAAGTTGGATACTGAATTAAATTTTTAATTATTGTGTTAAACTTAGATTATCTATTAATTTATTTTAATTTAAAGGAATACTAACTCTATTTTGTAATCTTTTAGACACTGTGTCAGAATTGACAACACACATTTCTTTAACTCTTCGCCACTTCGATGATCGTGAAATGTTTTCATCTTCATCCTCTAGGTATCGTCTGTACGATTTTCGACGATCCATATTTCTAAAAAAGAATTTATAAATTATGAGTACGTATTTGGAGCTGTAAAGTTTTAGAAACATAAAAAGTGCTGTTCAGATAGAACTGATTCTATTGTTTTGTGTAGAAAAGTGACATATACAATTTTTAAAACACACCAATACTGTAATATAAAAGTTTTTTCCGTTTTTTCTAAACTTTGTCAAAAAAATCTAAAAATTCGAATTCTAACTTCGTTTTATTAGAAACAGTGATAAATTATTTAAATGAATACGATGAGTAACACTTCAGGCACTAAAGACTCAGGAATCTTCAGAGACGTCACTAAACGTCACACAGATTCTGACGTCACCATTTCTAATTTTATTTTTAGCAGAAGGATTGATTATAAAGAGTAGGATTTGACGCTTAAGGTAAGATCTCAAAAGGCTACTAGTAGCCCGCTTCTTTTGTAATTTATATGAAACAGAAAAAGCTTAAATATATGAATGTCATTATTTATTTCATGTGGATTGCTAAAGAAACGGATAACTAGTTGTCCTGTGAAATTGTACCTATAATCGAAATGTGGGCGCAATTGATAGACTTTGGTTCAAAGCAAAATGAATATGGTAAAGGGAATTGGAAAGGAAAAGAGACAGAAACTGTCTGTCATTTTTCTTTTTGGAACATTTTAAAAGGTCTTAAGTTCCTTCCAGATATAAAAAATGCGAAATTAAAAGTTACAGTATAGGGTAAGTATTGCTGCACCTTTTTGAAAATTTTATTTATTTACTTCAGCGAAAAACATCTGTTTTAAAATTTTTAACAACAATATTTTAAACATTCTCTATTATAATTGTCAATAAAAATGATCATTTAACCCTTTGAAGCATACATTTTTCTAGTAAAGAGATTTAATAACCATCCAATATGGCGGACTTATTTTTTAAAATTGGCCAAATTCACTTGAAATTTGTTACTCGGGGGTTTTTGGGGTCCCTGATTATGAATCTGGGGTCAGTTTTTAAAAATTCAAAATGGCGGATCCAAAATGGCGGCCGATTTTTTTCAAATTCATCGGATTTACTTGAAATTTATAACAGGGGGGTTCTTGGGGTCGCTGATTACGAATCCGAGGTCAGTTTTTAAAAATTCAAAATGGCGGATTCAAAATGGGGTAAGATTTTTTTTCAATTTTATCAGATTCGCTTAAGATTCATAACAGATGAATTTTTTGGGTAGCTGATTACGAACCCGATGTCAGTTTTCCAAAATTCAAATTGTCAGATCCACAATGGCGGATGCTTTTTTAAATTCATTGGATTTGCTTGAAATTTTTTATGTGGGTGATTTGGAGGTTGTTGATTGCGAATCCGGAATCACATTTTTCAAATTCAAAATGTCGGATCTAATATAGCGGTAGAATTTTGCAATAATTGTTCATTTCTACTGGAAACTTGTTACTTAGAGTTCTTCTAGGTCACGAGTTGCATATCGAATGTCATTTTAACAAATTACAAAACTTGGATGATTTTGTATTATTCTCACTTCACAATTTTCACTTCTTACTTTCCACGCCACACTTTCTACATCCTGCTTTCCACTTTCCTCTTTCCACTCTTCACTTTGCACTATTGTCACTTCTATCGAGCAAAAGTAATGCAATATTGTTGCTGCATGTTGTGTAGGTAAGTAATGTATAGTTGAATTTTTATATTGTTTAGCGCTTCTAAAGTAAGCATACGAATAGATAACAGACACAACGGCGATTTATCCTTGTTATTTTAGTCCTGTCTATATTATGTTTTTATTATAATGCTCAAATAGTTGGTTGATATAAACGCAGGATTTTTTATTTGTGTTTGTAAAATATTCGACTGTAAGTAACATATAATAGAAAAACGTTTTATTGAGTGAAACAAATGGAAGTCGAATTAGCAGAAATTCCAAGTGATAACGAGTCAGTTGATGGATTGTGCAGCTCCGATGATGATCTTGAAGAGAATGACCTTACTAATAGTAAGGAACGTAGAAGAAATACTGTTGACAACAATGATGTTGATGACGAGAATGATTTTGATGAAGATGACGATTATTCATTAGAAGTAAGAGAAAAATGGAAAAGAGTAAGTAAACCGAAAGCTGATCTACCGTTTACGAAAGATTGTGGGCCAAATATTCCGGATGCGGTATGTTCTCCAATCGAGATATTTTTTTGCTTATTTCCCGAATCACTTATTAATCTCCTAGTTGAACAAACTAATATTTACCTGTTGCAAAAAAGAGGTAAGCAAAAAGAAGTAAATCAAACCGAACTACTAACTTTTTTAGGAATTAACATTTTAATGGGAATTAAAAGACCTAAATCATATCGCGATTGCTGGTCGATGAATCCTCAATTGCATGATCATTATATAAGTGAATTAATGACAGTAAATCGGTTTGGATTTTTTCTTAGCCATTTGCATTTAAGCGACAACACAAAGGAACCTACAAGAGGAAGTCCAGAATATGATAAACTTTATAAGATACGTCCTTTGGTGACAACGTTGAATGAGACATTCAAGAAATATTACTTACCGAAAAAAAACCAGGCTGTTGACGAATCAATGATTAACTTCAAGGGAAGAAGCAGTATGAAGCAATACATGCCAGCGAAACCGGTAAAACGAGGTTATAAGTGTTGGGTACGTGCAGATGAATCTAGTTATGTTTGAGATTTTCAAATTTATACGGGTAAAACTGCAAGTACAGAAAAATTATTAGGTCCACGAGTCGTGAAAGACCTTACACGAGAACTTGTCAACGGTAATCACCACGTATATTTTGACAACTATTTCACTTCTGTTTGTCTCATGGTTTCGCTAAAAAGTGAAAGGATTTTTGCCTGTGGTACTGTGCAAAAAAATCGAAAGCGATTGCCAAAAAATCATTTGTTAGATAAAAATATGAAAATAGGAGACAGCGAATTTCAAACATCGAACACCGGAATTAGATGGGTGAAATGGATTGATAAGAAGCCTGTACATTTTCTCTCGAATTATCACAATCCTCAAGATCTAATAACTGTTACTCGAAGGCAAAAAGATGGATCTCTCAAAGAAGTTAGTTCTCCGGTTATGTGCTCCGATTATAATAAGCATATGGGTTACGTAGATAATTCAGACCGTTTAGTATCTGCGTACCAAATTGACAGAAAATCTAAGAGATGGTGGCTACAACTGTTCTGGCATTTTTTGGATCTTTCTGTAACAAATGCTTTTATTATATACAAAGAGAAGAACTTTCAGCCCAGTTTAACTTTAAAAAAATTTAGGTTGGACATTGTCGACAAACTTGTTGCAAAAAACTTACCTTCTACAAAAGGTAGAAAACGGAAAGTAGAAGTTGGAGGTCCACAGAAGCCTCAAAATTTCTCTTGAAAAAAGAAGATCAGAGTCCGCTCATATGCCTTTTTACAATCCAAAAGGGCACTACAAGCGTTGCGCATTGTGCAGTACAAAAAAAGATGAAAGAAGGACGTTATGGAGTTGTTCTATTTGCAAAGTGAATTTATGTCTACTTCCTACAAGAAATTGTTTCGCTGATTATCACAAATAATTTGTAAAAGATTTTAACTACTGTGGTTGTATATAAATAAAACAAAGCTTGGATTCCTAAAAGCACATCAAAATTTTAAATACAACAAAAAATTAAAAAACACAAAAAATAAAAAAAAAAATTTAAAAACTAAAAAAAATTCAAAAAATACAAAAAATACAAAAAAAATATGGAACTAGAATTTCGCCACGTCCTCGTCGTTAGTTCCGGGTAATGCTAAGAGCGACAAATAACAAGTAACCTCAAAATATTGCAAATAACAAGACTAACGAAAATGAGCAATTTTAGAAAAACTATTTTGTCCTATTAGATCTGCCATTTTGAATTTCAAAAATTTGATTCCAGATTCGCAATCAGCAACCTCGAAAACGCCCAAATAACAAGTTTCAAGCGAATATAAGGAATTTGAAAAACAATCAGACGCCATTTTGGATCCGCCATTTTGAATTTTTAAAAACTGACATCGGATTCGTAATCAGCGACCCCAAGATCCCTCCTATTATGAATTTCAAATAAATCCGATGAATTCGAAAAAAAATTATCCGCCATTTTGGATCCGCCATTTTGAATTTTTAAAAACTGACATCGGATTCGTAATCAGCGACCCCAAGATCCCTCCTATTATGAATTTCAAATAAATCCGATGAATTCGAAAAAAAATTATCCGCCATTTTGGATCCGCCATTTTGAATTTTTAAAAACTGACATCGGATTCGTAATCAGCGACCCCAAAATCCCTCCTATTATGAATTTCAAATAAATCCGATACATTTGAAAAAAATCATCCGCCATTTTGAATTTTTAAAAACTGACTTCGAATTCATAATCAGCGACCCCGAAAACCCCCCCTATTATGAATTTCAAATAAATCCGATGAATTCGAAAAAAAATTATCCGCCATTTTGGATCCGCCATTTTGAATTTTTTAAAACTGACATCGGATTCGTAATCAGCGACCCCGAAAACTTACATGATCATTTATTATTAATTTTCAATGCAATTCAACGTGAAAAATGAATTTTTGCTGCAAAATACGCACTTTTTAATGTTTTATTTGTTTATAACAATCTTCAGTTTAAACAATATTGATTTTTGTATTGTTAGGTATATCCGCCAACATCTTGGGCAACATAAAATTACAAAATATTAGAAATAAATTATTTCTGACATGCTTTATAAGCCAAAATCTGAAAGAAATTAGGTGGGAATAGGGATTCCCACCATGCTTCAAAGGGTTAAAAAATTTGTATTTTTATTTTTAAGATCAAATATTCTTCGCGCAGAAATTAAAACATTTTCAGTAAATACATAATATATGTTCTCAACTGTCAACAAAATAACATTTAAATACATATTATTTTTGTGATAGTAATTGAAGCGCAGGAATTGAAATAAGCACGCAAAAATAAAATATTTTAAATCATATCATCTTTAATCGCTTTAAGATATTCAAAACTCATTTTTAAAAACATTTAAATTTTGCATAAATAATTAACACTAACTATTCGTTTCATGAATTGCAATTTCTTTCAAAAGATTTAAACATCATATTTTTTATTGAAAAGGTGTCTTGATTTATAAACCACAGAAATTCGTACACTCACCTTACTTTAGAATGCCGGAAATATAATTTTAAGAAAAACGAAATCAACTCTTTAAATTTGAATCAGATAAAAATAACTTATTTAGAATTATAAATTCAATCACTAATTCAAATGTCAATATTTCTACTGATCATTTAGTTAAAAATAACTGATCGGCAGTTGAGAATAACTAATGTTTCAGAGGTTTTTTTTAATTTATTTTTTTTACTAAAATTGTTTACTAAATTCTCAGTTGAAACTATGATTTTTAACTTATTTAAATTTAGAGAAATATTTAAGTCAAAAAATTAGCAATTAATAATTTTGAAAAATTGCAGTTCAGAAACATTTAAAAAAGCGACAAACAGAAAATTGAGTATAATATGTATACCAAATTTGACTTACAGAAGTAGATATCTTCATAAACAAAATTATCATAGCATAATTTTCATCTTGAAATAACATATACAGTTTTATTAATTTAATTAGCTTGAATTTTTAGATCAATTAACACACAATAACTGGATAGTGATAAAATACATACAATAGATTAATTAAAAACAAAAATCTTTACAACTGAGAAAAGACGCCAAGTCGGAAAGTTTAGGTTAGGGTTGTAAAGCTTGTAAAGGTGTTTCCACAAAAGCATGCAAATGCTACCTGCTTGCCTTCCTGCAAGTTGTCATGGGCTGTTTTCAGTACTCGACCTGAGTTAACGTTGATGGGTTGGATGCAACAGAATGTTAATAATGATTGGACCATCGTTCACTCGGAATTAAAGGGCAAGGCAGAATAGAAATGTTACGAGATGCATGAGATAAAAAAGGACGTATAGTACGAACCAGACCCTTAGATTGAGTCCACAATAGCACATTGAACGGAACGTAATCGTAACGTGACAATGCCAAATATATGGTGAGTGTGAGAGAGATGGAGATATATGTTGGCTATATTTGCACTCATGGCCTAGTTACAAAACGCAACGCAAAACGCTGCCATGGGACTCCAGCCTTACGTCCCGTTAAAGAGTGCTATTGTGAACTCAACTTTAAGGCCTTTCTCCAATAGGTTCCCAAAACTCTGCGTTGCGTCGGTTGCGTTGCAACGCAGTCATTCGCAGACAAATGCAGAGTTTTGGGAACTTATTGGAGAAAGGCCTTTACATGCCGTATGGTTACCACTTCCTGCTTGCAAGCATTTGTAGTTAACAGTTTTTCCTAGAAGTACATACATTTCTTCCTGTACGGTTTATTCTGACGCTTATTTGTGCATTTCTTGGTTTTTCAATAAAAAATGTCTGTATATAATCAATTCATTTATCATCGATTTTTTAAAAGTAAAAAAACCGATTATGCTCATGTGACAGACATCCGAAATTTTACTGCAGACGAATTCAATAAAAATAAACTATATAAAGTTAAAGACGCATCCGACCACAGATATCATCGTTCACAAATTTTAGAGTTTGGAAGTAAGTATGATTTTAAAAATACACTTAAAATTTTTATTAAAATGTATTAATTTAATAAAGAATTTATGGATATATTCGAATATTGTTAATTGTACAAAATTTATTATTTGTCGAATTCAGAAAATATTTAGCTAAATCATACATTTTTTTATTATAAATTTTAGTTGCGTTGCATTAAGAAAAATAAATTATATATGTGGCTAATAGTTTCGTTTGATATAAAATGTTAAAGTTTTCCTCATTGTAAATGTTCCAATTAAAAGAATGCTCTTTTCAAACTCTAATCATCAAGTATTAACCTAAAAACTTTCAAAGCCACAAAATGCAGAAGCAGAAACTTTAATCATTGCTTTATGTATTATGAACGTTTAAAAATGACAGAGCAATTTTACAGCGCAGATCATCATAAAAAAATAGCTGTTTTTCAAACTTGTATTTTTAAAATATTTATAATATTGTGGATAAAATAACAAAATTGTTCATTATTCGTTGAAATTTCTTTAAAATAGGGTAACTTTGATTTTTTAGGCATGGACCTACCCAAAAATAATTTGTAAAAAAAAGAAAACTGTTAATATATGTAGTAATAGTAAAAGTACTAGTAATAATTATGATCGAAAATGTTCATTAACTAGTGCATCGTTGAAGGTTTCATAACTTTACAGGAGAGAATGAAAACAGTTGAAACGCATAATTGTTTCCTGCATGTTTAAAAAATTTTAATTCTGATTTTTAACTTTATTCATTGTTAAAATTAAATGTTCTGAAATATATATAATATATTTAATTTAATATATATATTTCAGAACAACGTTTATAATCAACGATTTAGAAGAAAAAATATTTCCCTATTTAAATTTTTTATCTAACAAAATTTTTACAATTTTTTCTTGTTCAACGACTTAAAACAAAATTTGTAGACAACAAAATAATATTATTGTTTTCTATGTAAAATAGTACATTGTGCACTCAGTACGAAAAGAAGCTGTTTCCCGATGAGTTCGAACTTAGCTGCTCGAGCGAAGTGAGAGCAGTAATTAAACTCGTCGGAAAAGCTTTTTTCGTACGAAGTGCACACTGTAAGAATTCCTGAAGTGGGCCCCTATTTTTCATTGGGTCGATGAATTTTTCTCATTCTTATATGTTTTGATAGCCTATGATGGTATAATAAAAACCTGTAAATAGTTTTTCGAAATTCGAATATTTGCCAAAGTTATTCAAGGTCAAAGTTATTTGTAGCGTTTTAGTAAATAGCTAATTACTCGCGATCAGATGGACCGATTTTAATAAAAATTAGAGGAGAGTTTACCTGTAGAATTGTACTTTAGATAAATGATCAAAATTTTAATTAAAAAAAATAATTTGTATAAATAAATTAACTTTTTAATTTTTGGGGTTAAAACAAAAATTTGTTCTCCATCTTTTTTTTGAATTTTTTTTAATAATCAAATAGAGAATACTTTTAAGATTTTATTTGAACAATAAAAAAGTGGGATTCTCTATCACTTTAGAAAATATAATATTTTTAGTTACAAAATTTTTTAAAAAGTTAAAGAGATTTGAAGAAAAACAAATGAATTCGTGTCGATTTCATGCTTTTACTTTTATTTTATTTATTTATTTTTTTTTATGTATGATTGTTAATATGCAATTTTGTTGGTTAAAGTTGTCGAGTTTAGTTCATTCATTTGTTTTGCTTCAAATCTCTTTAACTTTTCAAAAAATTTTGTAACTAAAAATATTATATTTTCTAAAGTGATAGAGAATCCCACTTTTTTATTGTTCAAATAAAATCTTAAAAGTATTCTCTATTTGATTATTAAAAAAAAATCCAAAAAAAAGATAGAGAACAAATTTTTTTTAACCCCAAAAATTAAAGAGTTAATTTATTTATACAAATTATTTTTTTTAATTAAAATTTTGATCATTTATCTAAAGTACAATTCTTCAGGTAAACTCTCCTCTAATTTTTATTAAAATCGGTTCATCTGATCGCGAGTAATTAGCTATTTACTAAAACGCTACAAATAACTTTGGCAAATATTCGAATTTCGGAAAACTATTTACAGGTTTTTATTATACCATCATAGGCTATCAAAACATATAAGAATGAGAAAAATTCATCGACCCAATGAAAAATAGGGGCCCACTTCAGGAATTCTTACCCCACTGTGCTTCATGTAACACCTGTTTTAGAAACTCGATTTGAAACGGTTTTAAAAAAGAAATTTAGAGTTTATACTGTCTAATTTCAAAGTTAACGTTGTATACTATGCTTTGCAGATAAGAGTGTAGGAAAGTATCGATTTGAGTACAGAAAAGTATATACTTTCCTGCGCTGATTGCAGGACAGTGGATCTTTTTTTAAAGTACAGAAATCAACAATTTTTTGCTGAATTTTTTCCTCTGAATTCTTGATCATAAACTTTTTAAAATTTACCGACCTATTCTTTAATTGAAAATATTGCAAATTGCATTAAAAAGTCAAATCTGACTGTAAGGTTCTCTAATTAAGGTGACAATTGGATTTGTCTTAACATATTTTATTAAAATTCTTTTCTAAATTAAGAATTATGTTTAATTTTTTTACTTTTTTTTAAACTTGTGTTCTTTCTTGACTGGTGATTTAAGTTGTATAATATTTTTCTCACTTTAATATTTTATTATATATATATATATATGATTACTCGTTCGTTACAGGAAGCATTTCTGATCTTCAAAAGAAAATTGAAACCCATGAGAAAGGAAAAAACGCTGGATATTCATTAAAAGTACAGATGGAAGTTCTACTGAAGAAGAGGAGGAATCAAGCAGTACAGTGTCACAAAAAATTAAGGTACATTTGAAGAATGTTTTTCTTATGAAGTTGAAGAGTGATTCAAAATATCTATCTGTACCTAAAATGTGTTTTTTAAATTGTCAAAAATAAATAGGTTTTTTTCAACTTGAAGTGAACGATACGTTATTTAATGCTATATATTTTTGATATTTTATACTTGTTCATTTTTATTTTATCATTATTAATGTTTTCTAATTCTTATTTTCCTAATTTGTTTATTTCTTAAAATTCAGAAAGTTATTGACAGATAGAAAATATTACAGAATTCCGCATTAAAAGAGCCCATTTGGTCGATTTTATTTTATATATGAAATTAATTTAAGAGAAAAACATCTTGAAATTATTATAAAAAAATACATAGAAAAAAGACATGTTACATCAATACGAAAGCAACGCAGTAGATCACGAATCGGTCGACGGTGACGCTAGTATATTCTAAAATGTATATTGAATTAAATTTTGTGTTTTCTTATAGAATAAGCAGTCAGCAGTTCAAAAGACTAAAAAGAATTTTGATAAAAAAATTCTGCAGCAAAAAATGTCCTCTCATTTGACATCAAAAAATTTTTTGGGCGCTGATTCTGATTCCGATACAGAAACTGAATTACTTTCACACGATTTAAATGACGATGGAGATGCAAATAGCAATGATGGTGAGATGGAAACAGAGAAAGCTATAGATAGTGCACAAGTCACTACAGAAAATGAAGATTTAAAAAAGAAAGTTTTAAAATTACAAGAAGAGTTACAAAATTATAAAAGAAAAGCATCCACATCAAAAGAGCTGGATTTCCAAGATGGTGAGTTCAGATTTTATGTTATAATTTTCAATCTATGTAGCATTATCTTTGCTGTCTAAAAGGAAAATAGTTGGTAAATCACAAGTTAATTTTTTTAATATAATATTTAATTATTAGTTACGTTACAAATTAATTTATTAAATAATTGACCTTACCTAGTAAACTTTACATAACTTTACCTTATCCGAACGTTTTTTGAAAAGAATTCCACGCCGTAATTTCGGCTACAAAATTTCTTTTTAAATTGGACCACTTTTCTGTAAGAATTTTGTACAATATTCGTTCAAAAAACTAAATTTACAAAAAATTTTTGTTAGAAAATTCACTAGGAATTCTGCACTAAATGTTTACTGTGCAATTTTTTGAAATAATTTTCTACCACTTTTCCGAACGAATTTTGAACAATATTCGTGCGAATCACTGACAAATATTTTAAATAATTGCCTTGTCGTGAAAGCATTTTAGCTTGAATTAAGAATTCAGTTTTTGACAGAAGTATATATGTTATTATTTGAACCCAATATTTTATATATCTGAAGTACTAAAAAAGATTTAATTAAAAATAATATGTTCTAAAACTAATGTATGGGTCAGTATGTGATATGGGGGAGGGGGGAATTGAGAATGGTAAAAAATCACGTGACGTATTATGTGTACGGTCTTTTAATTTGTAAACTCAAGTTTTATTATAATACTCAAATTTGTTTATAAATTTATTTTAAATTAATATTTAGGTATTACTTTCAGTTTTGTAATTTAATTTTAAATAATGTTACATGTCTCATGTGTCAGTAAGTACTGATGCTATGTCATATTACTTTAAGTTTTGTAATTTAATTTTAAATAATTTTGCAAGTCTCATGTGTCAGAAAGTACTGATGCCATGTCATATGTCCCACATACTTCAAAGTTCACAACACTATAAGCAACTGGGAATACTGTTGTATTTCATCCATCTAGAATAGTTATCACTCAGCAGAAAGTACATTTATTTTTAAATTGTACATGATTTTAGATGATAAAGATGATGAAAGTAGCAATTCTTCAGAGCCAGAAGAAAGACAAGTGAAAAAAAAGAAGATAAGACCACGGCGCAACATTCGCGATATTACTGAATACGAATCAGATGAAGGTAAGAAATATATTGTATCAAATTTGGTGTTTCTACAATTTAACAAACGGATCGTAGAATAGCATATTCGAGTACTTGATGCATGTTGAAAGCTTTAGTTAGACTCGGCACACTTCTAAAAATCCACTTTTCCCTACTTATATGACTAGAGTTTTTTTCTGCTTCTAATTGATCTTTATCCATTACTTTTAATTATTATTTATACATGTTTTCTTGCATAGCACATTCCTCATTTTTAATTTAAGTAAAGTAATTTATTAAGTCTCGGTAGCTTCCTCTGATTATTATTAGGTTTAGCTTATAAAGGTATTAATGATGCATGAAGTCTGTGAAAACAAAAGCGCAGACCAAATGGCTTAAGCCTGATGTACAAAATTTAGTACTTTTTAATAACTAATTAAGAACCTAATAATCTTAATGTTTTCATGTTAGAAATTGTTTGTCTTTATTAGGAAACGACTCTAAATTAAGATTTTTATAGGTGAAATTCTGTTGGATGATGTTGGAAACAAAAAGAAGTACCAAATTTTTACAGCAACAACGACGGAAGGTAAAAAAGTAAGTAAAAATATATAATGACTAAACAATTTCTTTTTATAAAATTAATTCTTTAAAGCCCCTCATACCAATGAAATATATCTAATCAGAACTTTGTTCCTGCATTACTCAAAAACGACTGAACCGTTTTTCATAGTAAAATATAAACTGTCAGAAACTTCTGCGCATTTCTGGTAACTTTTACTACTTTCGGAATAAATTTTGCTACGTTCGAAGTAAATTTTACTGATTCTTCAAAAATATGTTCTTTGAGCGTTCCCGGTAAGAAGCAAGGAATAGAAAAAAGATTAAATTTCCAGAAATATTCTGTTAAACGAGGATTTTTTAATCTTTCTGAATAGGCGAATTTCCAAAAAAAAAAAACCCAATTCCTCTGTGAACAGCAAAATATCAGAAAAATTAATTCTTCTCTATTGCTCGTGTCAATGAGATGATAAAAAAGAATTAAGAGTTTCTATTTTTTTGAATGTGCAAAATTTTTCTGCTTCTCAACGTTCCAAAAAAATACAAAATCCTATCCTTTTGAATAGACAAAGTAAATCTTGTAAAAGCGAATTGAAAAAAATAATAAATAGCTATTCTTTTAAATCGACTTTAAGCGATTGTACGTAGTCAATTCAAAAATAAAACACAGTGACAGCTATTTTTTGCGTCGTGTGAATTTCATTGTGATTTCAGTGCTATATTATTAAAATGAAATATTAAAACTAGTGAAAATATTGTTAAAAACGCACAGTGCTTACGATAAAATAAAAAAATTCTCTTATTAAAATAAATGAAAGAAATTTTCAAGTGTTCAATGTTTAACGTCAAGTTTTCAAAACCTAACCTTTTTTTCAAGTGAAATATTGAGTGATAGTAAAGCAATTCCGTGGAATAGAAATTTCTACTGATTTGTTGTACTCTCTCTCTTTTGAATGCGCGTTTCATATTTTGGTGAAGTCAATTAAGAATAATAGATTTTGCTGCTCTTCCTTGCTCCACCGAGGAATTGGATTATTTTGGAAATTCGCCCATTAAAAAGAAATGAACTTCTGAATTCTTTTCAATTCCTAGCTTCTTACCGGGTTGTTTGAAGTATAATATGAATCTGTCAAAAACACGTTTCTGGAAACAGTAAATTAATACCGAGTTTGTTTTTTTTAGGTAAAACGAATCCATCTTGGAAATGGTGTTCACATCAAGTTTAGTACATGGAAATTGCTTGTTGATGTGGCAGATTCTTCGTCTTTTGTGAAACAATTGTCAAAAGCTATATGGCCCGACAATGTACTTGTCAACCGTTATGTTAAAAATAATAATCCATCTTTGATACAATTGCCTAATAGAACACCCAGGAAACAATTAACTCCGTCAAAGAAAGAAACATTGACAAGTATATACTTACATAATTACTTACAATTTTTTTAATACTATCAGCAACTGATGAATTTTACTTTTCACGATTATTTTAATAAATAAGTTTCATTATATATTTACTTTTTTCAGAATGTTACAGAGATTTCCTGGAATCGAGAGATGAATTAGATACCACTCAACGTCAAGATGAATTTAAGAGACATGGGAGATTCTTGAGCGACAGAATTAAATATCTTCGCGAAAAATTATACCCAGAACTCAAAAACAAAGCATAACAGTCCAAGTAAATTCAAATCATGTTTTTATTTTTCAGTTTAAATTTCACTTTAAAAGTATTGAAAGTTACCTATTTTATTAAAAAAGACTAAAGACTATACTAAACCACTGCTATGATACAAATATCGTAGTCGTAGAGTAGGAGTTTTTAAATTATATTAAAAGTTATATTTTAAAGTTTCAAACCTTAAATAAAATTGAAAATAAGTTTCAAAAAAGGTAAATATAAAATACAATACATAATATTATAGTAATAGGTGTTAAAATGCAATATTTTGATAGTAAATAAAATTTAAAAAAATTATTGTAAAAAATAAGGTTCTTGACTCGATTCGATCTCGAGGTGCCCACGACCTTAACTCATGTTATTTTAATAAGCATTGTATAAACAGGAGGTGTTTTGTCAAAATAAAGGTTTTTTCCAATGCGTTTTTTCTAATGATATTATACTCATTATAACAAAATTTTTAGGGTTCCGTACCCTGTAGGAACCCTATTAAAACGGTTACGGAAAATGACCATGTACCCCCCCCTAGCGCTCACAGTTTTCCATCTAGAGAGCTAAAAATTGGTACACGTACATATATACATATATATGTATATACATTTGCATACCAATTTTCATCTTCCTAGGTAATAAACTGTGAGCGCTAGGGCCTTTTTCGCCTTTTTGTGCGAAAAACTCTATGAAGATCAACTTCAATCACCTTTGCTATATTTTTCGTGTAATCTACGCGTCAAAAGGATGGAAAGGATAGTGATATCTGACTATCTCTCTTGCACTCACGAAATTCTGCTTTGCATTCAGTTTTCTGCTCAGCATGGGACTGCACCCTTAATCTAGTGGACTGGCGTTATATATTTTTATTTATTTTTTCTTGTAGATTTCAACAAACATAAAAAAAATTATTAGAGTTCATCTTCATATTTATTTTGCGAAAAACTAAAAATTTGTTTCGTTTTAGAAAAAAATGTGTACCCCCCCTTGGTTTTCACAATTCTTGGCCTATTGGACTACAGTTTTGCTTATTTTATGAATTTTAATCTGTAGATTTCAGGAAAAATACACCGAACATGATTGGATTTTATCTTCTTATTTTTTTCAGCGAAAAACTCAAAGTTTTTAAAAATTTCGTCAAAAAACGTGTTTTTTACCCTAGCGCCCACAGTTTTTTATCTGAAAAGATAAAAATTGGTTATTTATTTATTTTCACCTGTAGATTACACAAAAAATACAGCGAAAAATATTGTAATTGATCTTTATATTTTTTCAGCAAAGAATGAGAAGTTTTAAACGAGGGTACGGAACCCTCGGTATTAGTACGAATTCTACTCGCACTTGTCCGGTTTTTTACATAAAAGGGAATATATTGACAAGAAAATATTCACACAAAAATTAATATATATAAGATATAGTAGTGATAAGCTTAAAAGAGTCGTTAAAATCGGCGCATTTTATGATAATATTTTAACCAAAAATTATTAAGATTTATGTTTAGACAATTCTTGTAGACAAACCTCTTCCAAATATTTACAATTGATTGGAAAAATAAGAGTGGAAGTGCACGTGGAAGAGAACTAGCACTTCTACGTGGACTTCCACTCTATACAAAAAGATAAAAAAAACTTAGTCAAGCAGTAAATTCACGGGCAAATCAATGTGGAGACGAAGGTATATTTCTACGTTGAGATGCTTGCTCTGGTCAAGTTAATACCTCTTACAAATATTTACAATTGATTCGTAAAATAAGGGTGGAAGTGTACGTGAAGGAGAACTAGCACTTCTACGTGGACTTCCACTTTATACAAAAAGATAAAAAACTTAGTCAAGTGTTCAAATTCTCGGGCAAATCAATGTGGAGACGAAGGTATATTTCCACGTGGAGATGCTTGCCCTGGTCAAGTTAATACCTCTTACAAATATTTACAATTGATTGGGAAAATAAGGGTGGAACTGTACGTGGAAGAGAACTAGCACTTCTACGTGGACTTCCACTCTATACAAAAAGATAAAAAAAACTTAGTCAAGCAGTAAATTCACGGGCAAATCAATGTGGAGACGAAGGTATATTTCTACGTGGAGATGCTTGCTCTGATCAAGTTAATACATCTTCCAAATATTTACAATTGATTGGGAAAATAAGGGTGGAAGTGTACGTGGAAGAGAACTAGCACTTCTACGTGGACTTCCACTCTATACAAAAAGATAAAAAAAACATAGTCAAGCAGTAAATTCACGGGCAAATCAATGTGGAGACAAAGGTATATTTCTACATTGAGATGCTTGCTCTGGTCAAGTTAATACCTCTTACAAATATTTACAATTGATTGGGAAAATAAGGGTGGAAGTGTACGTGGAAGAGAACTAGCACTTCTACGTGGACTTCCACTTTATACAAAAAGATAAAAAACTTAGTCAAGTGTTCAAATTCTCGGGCAAATCAATGTGGAGACGAAGGTATATTTCTACGTGGAGATGCTTGCCCTGGTTAAGTTAATACCTCTTACAAATATTTACAATTGATTGGGAAAATAAGGGTGGAACTGTACGTGGAAGAGAACTAGCACTTCTACGTGGACTTCCACTCTATACAAAAAGATAAAAAAACTTAGTCAAGCAGTAAATTCACGAGCAAATCAATGTGGAGACGAAGGTATATTTCTACGTGGAGATGCTTGCTCTGATCAAGTTAATACCTCTTCCAAATATTTACAATTGATTGGGAAAATAAGGGTGGAAGTGTACGTGGAAGAGAACTAGCACTTCTACGTGGACTTCCACTCTATACAAAAAGATAAAAAAAACTTAGTCAAGCAGTAAATTCACGGGCAAATCAATGTGGAGACAAAGGTATATTTCTACATTGAGATGCTTGCTCTGGTCAAGTTAATACCTCTTACAAATATTTACAATTGATTGGGAAAATAAGGGTGGAAGTGTACGTGGAAGAGAACTAGCACTTCTACGTGGACTTCCACTCTATACAAAAATATAAAAAAAACTAAGTCGAGTAGCAAATTCACGGGCAAATCAATGTGGAGACGAAGGTATATTTCTACGTGGAGATGCTTGCCCTGGTCAAGTTAATACCTCTTACAAATATTTACAATTGATTGGGAAAATAAGGGTGGAACTGTACGTGGAAGAGAACTAGCACTTCTACGTGGACTTCCACTCTATACAAAAAGATAAAAAAACTTAGTCAAGCAGTAAATTCACGAGCAAATCAATGTGGAGACGAAGGTATATTTCTACGTGGAGATGCTTGCTCTGATCAAGTTAATACCTCTTCCAAATATTTACAATTGATTGGGAAAATAAGGGTGGAAGTGTACGTGGAAGAGAACTAGCACTTCTACGTGGACTTCCACTCTATACAAAAAGATAAAAAAAACTTAGTCAAGCAGTAAATTCACGGGCAAATCAATGTGGAGACGAAGGTATATTTCTACGTTGAGATGCTTGCTCTGGTCAGGTTAATACCTCTTACAAATATTTACAATTGATTGGGAAATAAGGGTTGAAGTGTACGTGGAAGAGAACTAGCACTTCTACGTGGACTTCCACTTTATACAAAAAGATAAAAAACTTAGTCAAGTGTTCAAATTCTCGGGCAAATCAATGTGGAGACGAAGGTATATTTCTACGTGGAGATGCTTGCCCTGGTTAAGTTAATACCTCTTACAAATATTTACAATTGATTGGGAAAATAAGGGTGGAACTGTACGTGGAAGAGAACTAGCACTTCTACGTGGACTTCCACTCTATACAAAAAGATAAAAAAACATAGTCAAGCAGTAAATTCACGGGCAAATCAATGTGGAGACGAAGGTATATTTCTACGTGGAGATGCTTGCTCTGATCAAGTTAATACCTCTTCCAAATATTTACAATTGATTGGGAAAATAAGGGTGGAAGTGTACGTGGAAGAGAACTAGCACTTCTACGTGGACTTCCACTCTATACAAAAAGATAAAAAAAACTTAGTCAAGCAGTAAATTCACGGGCAAATCAATGTGGAGACAAAGGTATATTTCTACATTGAGATGCTTGCTCTGGTCAAGTTAATACCTCTTACAAATATTTACAATTGATTGGGAAAATAAGGGTGGAAGTGTACGTAAAAGAGAACTAGCACTTCTACGTGGACTTCCACTCTATACAAAAATATAAAAAAAACTAAGTCGAGTAGCAAATTCACGGGCAAATCAATGTGGAGACGAAGGTATATTTCTACGTGGAGATGCTTGCACTGATCAAGTTAATACCTCTTCCAAATATTTACAATTGATTGGGAAAATAAGGGTGGACGTGTACGTGGAAGAGAACTAGCACTTCTACGTGGACTTCCACTCTATACAAAAAGATAAAAAAAACATAGTCAAGCAGTAAATTCACGGGCAAATCAATGTGGAGACAAAGGTATATTTCTACATTGAGATGCTTGCTCTGGTCAAGTTAATACCTCTTACAAATATTTACAATTGATTGGGAAAATAAGGGTGGAAGTGTACGTGGAAGAGAACTAGCACTTCTACGTGGACTTCCACTCTATACAAAAAGATAAAAAAAACTTAGTCAAGCAGTAAATTCACGGGCAAATCAATGTGGAGACAAAGGTATATTTCTACATTGAGATGCTTGCTCTGGTCAAGTTAATACCTCTTACAAATATTTACAATTGATTGGGAAAATAAGGGTGGAAGTGTACGTGGAAGAGAACTAGCACTTCTACGTGGACTTCCACTCTATACAAAAATATAAAAAAAACTAAGTCGAGTAGCAAATTCACGGGCAAATCAATGTGGAGACGAAGGTATATTTCTACGTGGAGATGCTTGCCCTGGTCAAGTTAATACCTCTTACAAATATTTACAATTGATTGGGAAAATAAGGGTGGAACTGTACGTGGAAGAGAACTAGCACTTCTACGTGGACTTCCACTCTATACAAAAAGATAAAAAAACTTAGTCAAGTGTTCAAATTCTCGGGCAAATCAATGTGGAGACGAAGGTATATTTCTACGTGGAGATGCTTGCCCTGGTTAAGTTAATACCTCTTACAAATATTTACAA